AGAATATTCTGAGTTGGAAGGGACCCACAAGGTTCAACCCTTAGCCTGTCAATTCCATAAGACAGGCCCAAAAATCACACCATGTGCCTGAGAGCATTGTCCAAACACTTCTTGAACTATGGCAGGCTTGACACTGTGACCACTTTCTTGGGGAGCCTGTTCCAGTGCCCAGCCACCTTCTGGGTAAAGAACTTTTTTCTAATATCCAACCTAAACCTCCCCTGAGGTCCATTCCCTCAGGTTCTATCACTGGTCACTGCAGAGAAGAGATAGAATGCTGCAGAATCCCATTAGTGCCCAGTCACCAGCATCTGGTTAGTGTCCCTGTATTTCTCACAGGATGCACAGGAGGTTCTTACCAAGACATGCTGGTCTTAACTATGATTACAGACAAATCTACAATACTTAACTGCCTCTTCATGCACAAAAACTATTTCAAATTACTATTTTCTCATTCTTACTTAACTTCACCCCATCTTGAATCTTAACTTCATCTTGAACTGGGCACACTTCCCAAAATAGACTATGAAATATATTTAGTTTTTCCATCCTTATGGGCTTCTTTTTCCACTCTAAGTTCTTTTCTTGTCTAATTAAAACACCTTTTCAACAACTAGAAAGCTCAACTTGTCAAGTGACACACTTGGAAAAGAAGTGTTTAATACATATAACCTTGGGCTCCTTTCCTCAAAAAGGTTATCTAACATTAATTTTTTATAAACTTTACTTGGAAAAAGTTCCAGAATGTACTTTCCAGAACAAAGTAGAGTACATTTTTTTTTTTAAATATTGATTTTATTCTTCTGTGCAAAGAGGCCAACTTGTCATTTGAGCTGAGTTCAGGAGACTTCAATTAAACCTTGAGGCCATCAGGTCTTCAATCCAGTATTGCATTTTGAAATACAGTGATGCAATGTCAAAAATGAAGCACTGAAAATTCTCCCTATGCTTAAAAAGAAAAAAAATTAGGAAAAAAACCAACACTCTTTCCATTGCTCAAAACTTAGAGAATCATCATTTAAAGGCAACCAAATAATTGCAAAACTTGTAGATAAGTAGTCACAGGGAACAGTATCCATTGTGCAGCCCACAGTGGCAGTAAACTCTCACAAGCCACAGTTTGAAAGTTGCTTAACCCAGGACTTTCAGTGGTGACTAGTGCCATTGTACTGAGATGCTGCACATTCCAAAATCAGTGTCAGACTCACAAGATCCCCAAGATCCCATAAAATTTGGCTCAAATCTAAAATGAGACAGTAGTAGTCAAAACTCATGTATCAAATTTAGCTTCAGGCTTTTCAATATGCCTTCACTGTCATGTGTTTAATGCATTTTGCAGCCTAAAGGACACAACCCAAATGTATGAGAAAACACTCTAAAATAAAAAGAGCAAGCCATTCTAAGCTGTGTATGCTACACTTCTTCATTAAAAGTCAAAACATTATTATACTTCCACATTCATTGTTGAAACTATTCTGGGCATACACAAAAAATAACAGACACGTTCCCGGAAAAAGAATCAGATTGTGAATGATTCATTAACTAGAAAGGAGCTGCAGTTGGTGATAAATGTGAACTTCAGTAATAGTCTGGCTAGCTTTACTGAATATATTGTTATATTTTATATGTTGGAAGTACTTTCCTTCTGAATGATGGTCTATGAAATGCCAGTATGTTGAAATAATATCTTCAAGTAAGAAGATACTAAAGTATCTTCTTCAAGACACTACAATTTAATTAACTTTTCATATAGTTTTATTTTTCTATTAATTTAATTACTTAGATATATTGATTTTTAAAAAATATGAGTCTGGTAAATAAGAAATGCAAAATGAAGCTCACAAAGAATTACAGAACTTGGTATAAGTTAGGATAACCATTTTCTGCTTGTTATGTCTCTACCTGATATTTTAAAAATCCTACTATATCTAAGAGTGAACTTAATGCAACTGTTTCCCTCCTGACCATATAAGAACAATGCACCATATAATGCATCAATAATTCTTGGCTAGATTCCTGCAAGTACCACTGTCAACCCCAACTCCTTTGCTTGTCATACAGGAAAAATCCACTGTTCACTTCCTCCGTGAATAAAATCCCAACACTTGAATGCTGCAACTCATAACAACTGCTGCAGAATCCCACTGAGAACACACACATAGAGCTTCAATAAGAAAAAGTAATCAGACCTATTAATTTTTGCTCTGTTTTTATAACCCTAGCTATCATAAACTCTGAATGCTTTTTCCACCATTAATTTTCCCAGCTTTATTTTTCTCATTACCTAATAAATTGGTATCTTAAATCAATGCCAACTTTGTTCCACTGATAAACTAATAATTCAAAATGCACCTACTCACATTATATCCAAAATAGAAATTTTGCCTTCCTGAAGAGTACTATAATGATTTGTTTGATACTACTTCCAGGAGCAAAATTTGGTTGTTATTACATACTTCATATGTATACTTTCAAAAATAACTACATGTCACTTTAAATGAACCTGCTTTTAAAAATATAAAGAATACTTATCACTTCAAGGTCAATTCCTCTATAAGATATGTTGGATTAAAACCTGATAATAAGGCCCATTTTTTTTCCTTAGTAGGTAGTAATTCCCAAAAGCTTAATGGAAGGGCTTTATAAAAGTGTTAGGAAGAAAATGGAGCTGTCAAAATCGAGTATAGATAAGTTTTATAATGAAGAAGGGCAAAGATTTTCAGTAACAAAAAAATCAAAATTCAAAATTCTTAGGCTTCACGGCACTGAAAATCAACAGAATAATTACAATGTTCTTGTTTTCTTCTCTTGGCTTGTGAGTTATGCTGCCACAATATTAAGAAATTTTGGAAATAAAATTTGCTTGGATCTAATACAAGACTATCTGATTGACTTCTTGTATCTTTTTGAACAAATATTTAATCTGAAATTTTTTTAATCTGACATTCAGGAATTGGCATATGGTACTCAGGTGGAATGCTTAGGGAAATTGTTGCTTTTTCTCTGACCCTCAGCCAAGAGTTTTACATACAAGTCAACTTAGGTCTAAATACAGGCTAGTTTCTGTTTGCTGTGAGAGAGAAGTAACACACAAGAGAAAAAGGACAGGATAGAACCATGTGAACACCTTGCTAATTTGGTGTGTGAGAAAGCCACAGAATAACAAATGTATTCTCCTCTCTTTCCATAACCTTTTCACCTGTGGTGTATCACAACTCAGTAAATTACGTCACAGTTTACAACCCTACATCAAATCTGAGATTTCTTTGCATGCTTACTTTTCAGAAGATGTGAAACCACATCAGGGAGTTGTAGCCAACAGTCTAAAAAGCTAAATTCCAGATTTAAAAGTAGCAATTGTGTCCAAAGTATTGTCCACTGTTGATAAAATCATGGGTTTAGACTAGGCATAACCTCACTCTGTCACATGTCAAAATCCTAGGCTGTGTTTTCAGTAGTTATGCAGCAGCTCAAACATACCCATAAAATCAACAACTAGAAAAGTCCATTGTGTGAAACCAGTTGGTACTTTCACAGAATTGCAGAATCACTGAAGTTGGAAAAGATCTCCAAGATCATCAAGTCCAACTTTTGACCTAATACCAGCATGTCCACTAAACCATATCATGAAGTGTCACGTCCACTCATTTTCTGAACACTTCCGAGGATGGTTGCTCTACCACTTCCCTGGTATTATCAAGACTCACAAATACATCAGGGAAAAAGTATACCTAATTTCTTGACCTTGAACTGTAGCTCACAATTTGTTTAATATGACTCCTCTAATAAAGAATTCTCATTATATAGGGTTTGGCACTGGCTCTTTGAAACCTTCAAAATTTGCAGAATTATGTTGTACACTTGATAAAGATCCACTGGGAATTCTTTGCCTGCACTTGAAAAAATCATTTTGAGTCAAATGAAGTCAAAATTATGCAAGAGAAAATTCCTCTTTAGTAAGATAAATCAACAAGATGAATTAGACAAATATCCAAGACTCAAAGTTAGCAACATCTACTTTGAAGATCTATACATAAAATCATAAAGCTTTAAACACTTCCTGAATGCATAGAGTTCAAATAAAATGTAGGTCACACAGAGAGATATGTAGATATCTTTCATTTGCGATGTCACTAAAATAATACTTTTGCCTTTCCTCTACATAACACATATAGCTATTATCTACAGAAAAGGAGAAAATAACTTCAGAAGGTAGTTTATAAGGGTACAATGTAGATTTCAGTATTTTAGAGGCTGAGGATAGTATATTATAACAACTGAGAAAGACAAATAGTTCTTGAGATTGTAGTTTACTCTTGGTAAAAAAAAAAAAAAAGTATTGTATAGGGGAGAGTTGAGATCTTGATCATAAAAACAGCTTCCCTTCTTGATCTCATAAAATGTAGGTCTGCTAATTCATGTAATGTTCTGTATCACCTCTCTGTTCTGGTCTCCTTTCTACAACAATGTAACTGAATGGCAAGATGAGTGGAGATAATTTTTATATGACTGAGGGAAGCATAGAAAGCATTCAGTTCATATCCTGGTCTTACTCCAGAGTTGCTTCTTCAAGAATGACAAGGGAATATTACTTCATATAAGAATAAAATTTTAGGTAAATTCTGGATGTACCTGGAAAGTGACATGATAACTGTGTAAATATGTACAGCATTGATCTTCATATGCAAAGATTTTCCAAAGAGATGATAATAATCCTTTTGCGAAATACAACGAGTAGTTTTTTTCCACAATTACTTTCTTATGACATGAGTGATTGTCTTAATAAAACTAAATCCACTCTTTTTAACAGACTTACTATATGTATAAATATATCCCTGTTATACATGACCTATAACCTCCAGGTGGAGCCCCTGGTGGTCTAGTGGTAAGGGCGCGGCGCTATCACCGCCGAGACCCGGGTTCGATTCCCAGTCAGGGCCACTCCCGGGCAGGTGGGGCTCGTTAGCCCTTAAAGGCAACCCACCTACGTCCTTAAGGACCTCGTTGCCACCGTCCAAGCTCGCTTGGCCCCGGCAGATGAACCTTAGGATTAAAGGGTGGGCTCAGTTCCGCGCACACTGTGTCTCACCTAAAAAATCCAATGCGCAGGCTGGAAGGTGTAAAGACCTTCCCCAGATCTTCGCTCGCGAAGACTGGCCATTATTATAACCTCCAGGCCTCTGATTACATTTCTGTCTCTTGTCACTCTATCATTGTTTTCTGGAGTGGTGGTTCAGTTTTCACGGACATTTCAAGAACAGGTCTTGTGTATGCACTAGTTTTGAAATCAAAGAGAAAAAATTCAGCTACAAATGCAGAACAAAGGAAGGAAATTTTAAATGGTGTTCTACTACAGTACCTAAACCAAGCTGCATTAGTTATATCTGGAGGAGGGAAATATCACTTAAAAATTATATGCTGTGCATGGTGTTACAGCAAAACATACATTGTTTGTTTTATGAATCTATTGGATTTTTCTAACTCCTTGAAAATAAATATAAATTATGTTGTTTTCACAACATTAATGAAGATTTGATATCTTTGGCAATATAGGAGCTAACTTCTTCTCTTTCTCCTTTGCCTCATAAATCTTGCTGAGGAAGGTGTAGTTGCTTCAATACATTGTTGATTTTTATACCATCTTTTGGGCTCAGGATAATGAGTTACAAAAATGATATTGATCTCATACCAGCTAGGTAAATCTTCCATGACCTTGTATTTTCTTTGCTTTCCCTTACCCCCTGTCCCCTTTAGTTTGCTTTATTAATTTATCTAACATCCTATAGTAAGCTGCTTTCTGTATATAAATAATTCATGAAGATTTAAGGTAAAAAACATGTTACTTACATGCTGCATAGCAATAAACTTCTTTTTACAGGTCCTTTAAGTTCAGGCAAGTTCGATTATGAATTTGTTCCATTATATTCTTATCCCTGTACTGATGTTCCTTCACTCCCATTCTTTCTTTTTTTCTTGAATGAACTCTGGGAAATAGTAGAATAAAAGGATTGTTTTAATCCCAACTTGCATAATAACCTCACTTTGATATTCCATAGGGATGCTGCAACCTGAAATACCCTCCAAGATAGATAGAAATAATGGTGTTCCTCTTAATGAAGATATTACTGAAGAGCAGAACAAGTATTATTCCACACAGTCATAAAGTAAATAGAGATATTTTACTTTTTGAGTGCAATCACAACAAGGGTCGTGGGAATTAACAGTGATAGAAAGGGTGATCTTAAGAATCCAAAAGTTCCAAGTATCTGCTACAAATGGCAAACAAATGCAATAAATTTCCAGGCATTATCTTGAAATCTGTAATCTTCAATTACTTAATAGGCAACGACACTCGGAGCTTTATATATATTCTGAATGAAATAGAAATTTGGCATAAGGCATAAGGATACTCATAGGTTTATAACAGTGTGGTAATAGACAATAAAGACTATTTTCCAGACGTCCCTTATTAAAATGAAACAAATTCCTCATCAGCTTTATTTTTTTTTTTCTTCTCTTAACTCTGTACATCCCTGGGAGTTTCTGACCTTTTATTCTCCCTAAGATTCCCTCTTTCAATTGTATTTGTCAAGTGACTGTTACAGATAATGGGTAGTAAAAAATTAAAAGTGAGTGAGTGTGGTATTTAGATAACATTTTTGTTTCCTTCTTGTTTCTAAGTCTCGCTTATTACTCTTCTGGACAAGGCTTGAAAATAGTGGACAAATGGACATTCTCTAGAAATTCCTGGATTATTCTACTGTGACAATATATGTTTAAGCCTTGGCCAATGACATGGGAGTAAAAGATTCTTCTAATGTGCATTTAAAACAAACTCATCAAGAGTAAGAAACGCCCTTAAAAGAATCATTATTAGCAGAAACAAAGCCACAAGCCCTTTTAAGTAGCTTTATTGGGAAAAAAACCCCTTGTTTTAATATATTAGTCATTAGAAATAATCAGCATTATTGCCACTAAAAGGAAGCTCTGTATTCACAAATGAGAAATCATATTCACTAATAAGTGCATGGTTAAAGCTCAAGAACAGACAGACATTTTTTAAATCATTGAATGTAAGTAAAGAGACTTCTTAGGTAACATTATGGAACCCAGAGAAGAGGTAGACCTTGTTGCTGAATTGTCATATCTATAAATATAAATAGAAACACAGATAATAGCAGCCACAGGGCAAATAAAATTTCTTAAAACAACCACCGAGATTTCTTCAATCTAGTGGGCAGTTCTGCTCCACAATGTTCACATTGCTAATATAGTCAGGTAGATTAATTTACTGACTAGTAGTAACATAATTAAAAACTGCTTCTACGTTATAGGTTGTATTTTGCTTAGATCAGAGTTGTCAAATTCAGCAGTTGGTATGAAACAGATTTTTATTTAATGGAAACACTTAATTTTTATGAAATTAATTTGCATACTCTTACTGCCTACATGCTAACCCATGTCTGCCTGGACCTCTGTAGATTTCAATGATGTTTAATGATGTTCATATGAATAAAGGATTCCACTAGCCCCAAAAAAATTTCAGGATCAGCGACCAAACCTTTTGCCTGCTTATATTAAACTAAGTTTTGGTGTGTTCTCTTCTGATACGAAATACTTTGTATAGAGTTTACTTTCACAAGATTTGTAGTATCTTTCTTGCATTTATGCTTGTTGCATTTTGACTGATATGCATGAAATTAATATTGAGATACAAAACGATTACATGTTAAATTCATGATTGGAGAGGAAGGTATTAATAGTTACTTTTAACATTTGTACAACTTTTTGGATTGTAATGATCAATCTCATCCATTTTTGTGATGCACAAATCTTAAATTCAGTTGATTAATTTCTATAGGGGGAGAGAAATCCAGATGTATTATGTCAGTTTTGGAAATGGTATCTTTTTGTCTATATTTTGATGTTGTGATTCAGTAATCAATGTTTTATTTTGTATTTTTTAAAGATGTGATGATTATACCATGCTTGGTGTTAGCAGAATGAACCACATAAATTCTACCAGTGTTCCTCTGCAAGTTTTCTGTACTGTAAAGAGAGGTAATTTCCAGTCCATTCCTTTAGAAAAAGAGTGTCTCTCAAGGGTAGAATATTTTGATTACTATATAAAAATATGCAATCTTTATTTTACATACTTTCCATATCCTGAGGTAAATCTAAATTTAGTAAAGTGGCTGAGCCAGGGGAAAAAGCTGTATCAATCTTCTGACACTGATACAATGAAAAAGTATTGAATATTCCTTCTAGATTTAAAATTTATATCAACCTCCTGTCATAGAAATATTTAAGCTTTTAATATTGTCACTTTGCATATAAATCAGTTAGCAGCAGGCATACAACAAACACCATACGAGACGTTTATGAGTTGTAAACATAGAGATATATAAAGCATTATATTTTGAATTCTTTTTCAGAATTTAGTCTGTAGGCCCACAAGTTTTCTGGCTTCTAGACCTGCCACTAGAAAAGGGAAGATTAGCCAATTCTTGCTCATGACACAAGAATAGCATTCTATCACAATGGTTCTCCAGTCTGTATCACTAATTAGGAAAGTGAGACAGGACAGCTTTAGGTGTTATGCTTCACTGCAGAAGAAGTGTTCAAAACATTCAAATAACAGGTCCTCTCTTTCAATGGACCATATCCTGAGGTCTCTCCTAGAGACTATTCTGCAAGCTGATATTTTCATTTAGGTGGGTAGTCACACTGAAAAAAGCCAACAGGATTGTGAAAACTTAAAAGTCTGCATCCCAAGGTTCAAATGGTGATGTTACAACGTGTTTAGGAAAGGTATAATTTTAAGTGCAACTTCTAGTTAAATGAATGTCAAATGGAATCTTGTTTGAATTAGCAGTCAGTAAAAACACAGGAAGTACTTAAGGTAGGAGCATAATTAAAAGATAAAAAAAAAAATTGCATTACGTTTCAAAAATTTTGTCATTGAACAAATACCATTTATAAACATTTTCCATAGTGTTCAATGTATATAATATGTCTTTTTACTCAACATAAGGGAAGCAATCCCTGGAAATGCAAGTAATATTATGCAAGGTGTTGATTTAAAAGGTCTGCAAGAGGTACTGAGCTAGGTCTCCCTTTACTGTAATAGCAATTTTGAAACTAGCCAAAACAGTGTTCCTTTTAAAACTGGCTATTACTATGCTACTGTTGTATGTTGTGCTGGGAGGCATTTAAACTCAAAAAGAGTGAGCTGGAAAATACTCACAAATTCTCAGTTCTGAGGCTTGCTTTAACTAATAGATCTAAATTAAAAATAAACAATCAAAAAAGTAAACCCACACAAAATAAACAAAAACAAAACCAAACCCCCAAAAACCAAAACAAAACCCAAAAAACCCAAACAACCCTCCCTTAATAAATACTTAAATACTTAAGTCATGGTTATGTGGACTTTCAGGATGAAGGCATTTCAGTACAAAGCTACAGTCCTGAAAACCTTGACTAGATTAATGATAACTACAACTGATTCAGCTAGATGAGCTTTTAAACTCATCTGACCCCAAGCAAACACAAAGCTGAAGAGGAAAAAAAATAATCAGCACCATTCCCCTATCTATAACTGGAAATAATTGTTTTTCAGGACCAGTACCTTGATTTCAATACGTATGTTCCTTATCAGGTGGAATACTCTTTCATTACAGCCACAGATCCCGGCATTTCTCTGATACTATGGTAAACAAGGCTCATTTAGTGTTGAAAGATTCAACTCCATACCATAACCTAAGCAATCTAGGTACTGTACCACACAAGTACATAGTATAATATATATTCCCCCCCAAATCCTCATATGTACTCATATGCATTTAATTGAAATCTAAGAGGCCTATGTTTTGCTTGTACTAGTGACTCCAGAGGATATCTGCTGCTTTATTCAAGGTGTGAAAAACATTATCTTCTATCCAAGACAAATTTCTTTTTCCTTCAAAAAGGAAATAAGTTTCTCTTCTCTTGGGAGAACACCAAATCTTTCACAGACATAGAATTTCCTGGTACTAAACAACTGCAAGACTGGACCATGGGCACCGAATTAGCCTGTTTTTTAATATGGCCTGGAGATTAAAAAGTGTTTGCAATTCAAATTGTCA